AGCCATAATCCAGCACCCAGGGATGGGGAAGGGAGCAGCTGTACAAGCAGGGAACTCCACTGCCCAACCCTTCTCTATCCACATGCGTAAAAAAGGCCTGTGTGGCAGGAAAGGCCACGATGGAGAATCAGCCCCAGAGACAGGAACGTGCTATTGCCACCGCCAAGTGGTTAGAATTCATGGGTTAAGCTCCTAAAATCATGAGATTGGCTTACGAGTATTATTATTGTTAACAATAGTTTTTAAATTAAGTCTTTTCCACTTGCTTTCTCCTCTTAAAACTGTCAGGGTTAGTGCTTTGAAGATCCTTTACAAAACAAGAATGAACAGAAACATGTTCCATTTTATAAAAAGGAATTCTATCCCAGGAGCTGGAACGTCAAACAAAACACCAAGGACCGCAACATATGCAGTAAAATCACAATGTGGCTATATTCCTGTCCTCTCCCTCTAGCTTAGGGCCATATCAGGAACCATCAGCCAGAGAGCGGTGAATCGGGGCAGTCTGTGGCCTGCACTGCAGTCCCTAAGGACCTTTCCAGTCAACATTAATCGGAACGCTCCTTGAAGCTGCTCCCGTGTGCGCTGTGGGCTGGCCGCCTGCTATCCCACAATCTTGGAAGTGTAGCAGGGGCTTTCAAACACTTTTTGCTTCCTCATTTCACCTACCCTGACAAATCTCAGGAAAGCTGAAGATTTAACCCACTAAATACGCTCTTGTGAAATGACATATGAGAACACATGATAACATGTGTGCAGTCATAACACAAACACATATAGATATAGCTATATATTTCCTTCATGCACATAAATTCCAGAAGAGTTTTCACAGTTTTCTTTTTCCTCCTGTGAAATTGATATGCTCCAATATTAACCATTAAAAACAGCACAGAGAGCTCCTTAAACCCCTATTAAGCCCTTCAGAGCTGAATTTCTCCATCTCACGGACATCAGAGACATGCAGACTGCATCCCCAGCCACCTGGACAGGCATTCAGAAGGCATAAAGCTAACAAGCAGTCTCTCTGATTCCACCCAGCCTTTCTCATAGCTTTGTTTGCTCTGAAGTGGTCATCAGCCACTAACCCTGCTGCAAGGAGGGTGGGTGGGAGGACATATGTGGAGTTGTCTTCTATTCTTAGGATAAATTCTAGTTTTCTCTTAGTATCTTCGTTACTTTTGCCTTTCTCAGGGCAAACTTTTATTCCTTCCATCTCTCCATTGCAGGTTTTAAGCTCCCAGGAAGACTGGTACAAAGCTGAGCTGAGAAGTCAAGAGGGCTACGTTCCTAAGAACTTCATTGATTTTCACGTTCCCCCGTAAGCACCACAGAAACTGCGTGCATCACCATTACGTGTTTTCACAGAGTACTGTCAAGAGCACATCTATGTGTGTGCATGCCCATAGGAGAATAATATAGAGGAGGCACTGATTATAATATACTGCAATTAAGGACTGGCAAAGACACTCATAACACTGTATGCAGTTCTGCTAGCGCCCCTTATTTCTGCCATGAAACATCTTCTGTTCTTTCAGAGCTGGAGGGTACCCAACGCTCCATATCACTCTCAAGTGACTCCTTTGCTACTGTTGCTCAGAGGGATGTCACTGGGATATGGCAGAAACTGCATTTAGCTCTCCTTGGGCAGAAGGAGAATTGTCATGACGTGAAGTCTTGGCAACGGAGACAGAGGCTGAGCACAAAAGGAAGAGCAAGAGATCTCTCTAAAAACGAATTATAAAAATGTAACTCCCTTCCCTCCCCAACTCTTAACTACATTAACTCTCTGTTCCCCACCCTGCCATCCACGTTTCCTCTCCCCCGCAAAGTGTATGTGAGTTTCTCTCTATACACTAGAGGTCAGTGCAATGCTACATGAGATTGTGACATCTGGTGTTACTCATGGACTGACAGAAATGATAGACCAGACATGTTGCTCTGCTCCCACACACAAGAAGACACACACACGCACACACACACACACACCTCTCCCAGCTTTGTGACTGCACACCCAAGCATAGACCTGTCAGAGGACAGGCGTGCCCCCATTTCTCCCACTGGGTAGATAACACCATGCTTTCAGGAAGGAGTGATACGAGTTTAAATGCATGTTGAATGTGTTGTCCAGCCCTGTGCAATAAATATACCCAATCATGTCATTTTTATAGTCTTTTTCTTTCCATTGGCAGAAATCCTCCCTGAAGCTCCAGCCCCTTTAATCCTCCTCTTTTGAAAAAGTGCTGCAGCATTTCAGGAGAGAGCAGGCAGAGCATGCACCAAGCCTGGTTTGTTGCTAAGCTGCACACACTGGTGTCCTGAGCAGGCAAACTGGGAGCATGCAGGGATTCTTGTGGTCCACAAGTAAGTGCCACTGTCCCCTTTAGAGGTGGCATTTATGGACCTGTTTGGACGTAAGCCAGCCTGCCTGGCTGAGCTGACAGACATTATTGGTTTTCTCTCCTAGACAGGCTTGTACTTTTGGGCCTCTTGATGATGAGATCTCTCAGTCAGCTATGCTTGTTCACTCTTTCACAGGGCTATGGCATCACACAGGGACACTAGCACTTTCTTTTTTCACATGCATTTTTCTCATGATGTTTTCCTTGTGAGGAAAGAAAGAGATGGAAAGAAGTGTTTCCACTTTGACACTTTTCGGAGTGTAGCAGGTCTGCAATTTGAAGTAGTTCAGGCGAGTTGCTAGAATCAGATGTAGGGAAGAAAGTTGTCTCCTATTTTCTATGTCTCCTGGGCCGTTTTTTTCCATTTCTGTTTTGTCAAGTAATCATTAATACTAGTTAGCAATGCTAATGAAGATCTGATATCCCATTGATTGCTAATGATAATTAGGTAAACTGTGATGATAGTAAGGAGAAGAATAAGGAACTTCAAAAGTGGAAATGACAGAGTTTGTGAAAGTGTAAGTCCATAATGTTAATGGAATACAGGCAATTAAGCATAGAACTTATTAGCTGTGAACATATATTAGTGAGCATTGTTTTTTTCTCTACTTACAAATTGCAGTTGCCACTCTATTATTTTACCATTTATTGTGACTTTCCTCATTATATGCCTAGTGTCTTATACTAACAGTTTGTTATATCTGGCTAAATTTACATAAGTGTGCTTATATATTCTGTGTTTCTGCAATTCTTGTGGTACTATAACTCTTGCCAGAGTCAATTTATGAGTACTGAAACTTTCATGCCTTGCTTCTGTTAAAAATTTATGTTTGTTCCTTGCAATATATCCATCACAGTCCAGTAATTTGCAATCAGTTTACCAAAAGCTGTTTGATATATATGTCTGAGAAGGATGTGTGTATGTGTATATACGTGCACATTTGTAATTTAAAATTGCTTTAACACCTTACTGTACTGTGCCTGTAACTTGACTTTTAGCTGAGTGTTACTTCCTAACAGGCCAAAGCACACATTGTTCTCTTTGCACCTATGTGCTTTTACTGCTCAAAGAAAATGGTCTGCACCCAATATAACCCTGTACCTTAGTATGTATGTGGCCAGCGGGAATCATGTAGGATCCTCTGATCTGTTTCTTTTGCCTTTCCTCCACCCTGCTTATTCACATTCTCCCTACCCTCAACTTTTCTATTCCTTACCTTAGTTCAACTCCTTATTCACGTCTCCATGATTTTTTCCCACTTGACAGCTGGTTTGATGAGAGGATATCCCGCCACGAAGCAGAGAGCAGCCTCATGAGCAAAGGAATTGGTTCCTTCATTGTCCGAGCCAGTCAGAACTCACATGGTGACTTCTCCATCTCTGTCAGGTATCTGCTTCTTACAGCATCTTCCTAGTCCTTTTCCTGATTAATGGTCTCCCTAGCCTCTTCTTATTAGGAATCCTGATGTGACATTGCCTCTCGGGAAGCTTGCATGCTGTCAGTAACTGGCAGAGCTGCTGTGTTGCAGATGAGAACAAATTAGGCATCTGATTCCCAGATGCTTCTGCTTTCTTTCAAGTGACACAGTGAATGCCCCATTTCAAACCTGCATCCCCTTGTGGCCTACTTCTCCGAAAGAGCTGCAGCAAAGCAGAGAGTGGTACATGGGACATCTCCCACAGTGCAAAACATGTGCCTTCCGTTTGTTTTATTTGCCTGACAGCTCCAGTTACTGGATCCAACAATTCCACTACCACCCATAAAGAGATGACTGTTACATTATTAACCTATTTCCCAGAGGTCACTAAAGAGCCGTTGGATAGCTTTCAATCACCAGCAGCCCAACTGCATTTCAGCCATTTATTGTAATCCAGCCTTTCTCAGAGCCCTTGCTTCAAAGCAGAAGTGTTAACTGATGGTTGGTTTCCTGATTTTCAGTCAAACAATCGATAATCAGTTTTAAATTAAAGTACTGATTAGCAATGTCTTTTCCAAGCAGTGTGCACTTTCTGATTCAGGGAACCGAAAAAGTATCTGGGAGAAATAAAGGAAAACATTCTGCCAAGAATAGTAACTCTGCTGTGACCCCCTTTTTCCAAACCCAGAGGCTGGCTCAAGCCACCTCTTCCCATTCTAGGAGCCTTTGCCTGCATCTACACCAAAAGCACAGTCATGCACAGTCTCTGGCCCTGAGAACAAGCAACATGGCAGAGGTCAGATCCATATGGCTAAACTCTCCTCACCCACAGAACAGGACAGCTGTTTTCAAGCAGTTCACTGGGAATGGTTCCTGGTCCACATGGTCCCCCTAACCGTGGCCCAGCATTATCTAGGAGAGGGCTAGTAGGTTTAGATCAAAACTGTGCTAACACCAAAACCAGATCACATCTGGTGCAAAGTGGAATTGTTCAAATCAGATGAGAGGTAAGGGCAGGGGGGGAGGGGAGCTACAGGAGAGAAATCGAGGGCAGGAGGTGGGACTGTTAATTTTGGCTTATAATTGCACCTCATAATTCTTTTTTTATTTCTTTTGGGTAAGGAGATGAGTGTGTAGTCCTATATTATACTGTGCATTATACAATTATAAAATGTAGTGTATAGCTTCATGTGAATATGTGTATGTGGCTATGATGCATGTGGCGTGAAAAGGTATGGCATATCTCTTACAGTCAATGCAACCCAGGTGTTAGCAGGCACCTGCAGAGGCTAGTGAGGAGACTACAACTGTATTGCTGTCTTTCATACAAAGTACAGAATGAAGCTATTACCTTTTGTGGCCTTGAAAGCTCTTCTGACCTTTATTTCAAAGAGGAAGCTCTAAAACCCTGTGCTTTGTCACTGGGCAGTCCTGCAGCATTGCATATTTGTAAATTGATGAGCCTTTTGAAATACAGAGCCACATCTAGCTCCAGTACGTACAGGGGCTGCCTTTGCTTTACTTTCTAGAAGTCTAGATTTGGCGAAGCATCAGCAAGGAGCTTTGGCACTCTTCTGGAAAAGACTTTTCCGAAGAAGATGAAATTGCAATCCGGGTGATGATCTCTTATTTTTCCAATCGGATCCAGGCATGAAGATGATGTGCAGCACTTCAAAGTGATGAGGGATTCAAAGGGTAACTATTACTTGTGGACGGAGAAATTCCAATCACTAAACAAGCTGGTGGACTACTACAAGACAACCTCCATCTCCAGGCAGAAGCAGATTTTCCTGAGGGATGACAGCCAAGGAGAGAAGGTACACACAAACTATCCTTAAGAACTCCTCAGTGAGAAACCCTTCCACAGAAGGAGTTTAGCCCTACAAGGATATCTCCGGGAACCTGTTCTTGGAATCCCAATCCCATTAGTATGCTGGTGGGCCTTGCAGCCTAAATTTGTAGTTGATTTATCTGTATAGTTATATAATTGAGAGGAATTTTCTGAATCTGTTTTGGATAGCAATAGGAAGTGCTGCAAATCTCAGCAGAGAGGCTTTGCTAGAGCTGTGTTGAGGCCCCAGAAACAAAATTCTACGATGCTTTGCACAGTCAAGGGAAGCAGGACTTACCCCATGAGATGCCTGGTGTAAAGATTTGAGAAGCTCTCGGCTCCAGAAAAGAATAGGGCCTGGTGATGCAGTGAGGAGAGGGGAGGTACAGAGCTCATTGGCAGACTGTGTCTGAAAAGTCTGGTTTCCTAGTGTCCTTGAATGTACTCTGAGTGCAGCTGTTATTACAGTTGAAAGTATGTCTGCTTGGAAAAATTGTCCATCTTCTGTTACTTATCCAACACAGCAAGAGGTATGGAGGAACTGAAGGCAGAACCTGGAACCATGGTCGGTTGGGTCAGAAGAGTGCCAAGGAGAGCATAGCAGATATGGGTACAAGCTGCGTGTTCAGGGAAGATGCAGTAGATGTCTGAGAACGCAGGGAAATCTCAGTCTAATACATGCCTGGTTTGGTGCCAGAAGAACAAGCAAATGACATAGCAGGAACTGCTATACTTTGCACTTACAGCATTAGGAGTGAACTTGCCTAGTCACTCCAGTAACTGAAGTCCTGCTTTACTGGCAAACGGATTCTGGTATTAAATTACCAGGATGTGCAAGTAGAGGTAAGGCTGAGAGTATGTGATTTGCTCACTGCAGCAGTTTTATAGGTACATGTGGGTTATTCTTGCTGGCTCCAAAAGAGAGAGGACTTATTTTTCAGTCTGAAAAGGGGGCTCATGTTGTTTTCTCCCTCTAGAGCACTTATTCGGTACTTTAAAATGCATTACTAGGATATAAAATAGAGACTATGGGACCTATGAGAGAAAAACCACAGCAAATAGGAGAAAGGAAGACTATATATACGTATATGTGTATATCAGTAAAACAACCTGTTTGGCCTGACTGTGACTGGGAAAGGAAAGGGAAAGGGAACAGCATTTGTTCCAAGATGTAGACCGACAAATGAAAGAACAGGAGTCAAGTTTGCTTTGGTAAATGCTCTGTACGTTTGTTATGATGATGGGCTCAGCAGGGTATGTTTAGCACTGATCACAGTGGGATTTCAGTTCACAATTAGAATTTCTGGATGCTACAGCCATATGATAAAATGATAGGCATATACAGATCTCAGTGCAGAAACAAATTAAGTGTGAGGGCAGTATTTCCAAAAAGAGCTTGACTCCTATGCTAGTCCTCAAATCAGTAGTGATATTTTCAGCCCAGTATTCCCCATCACTACCCATCTTCAAAGGGGGAATGGCTATGGCAGAGATCTAAGATATGGGACTCCTGATTTGTCCTTCTGTTCAGAGGGGTGGGAGCCTTCCTTTGGAAGAGCCTCCAAGGTAACGGGCTGTGGTAGTGATCTGTTGGCAATGATTGCTAAGCGTCAGTCAAGGAGGTGGTGGGAAGCAATACCTGACCTCACACTTGTGATCTTCTTTCATCAGGAGAGGCATGGTGGGAGCCTGGAACGGATGGGCCGGGAAGGACTCCACCTGGGTGGAGCAGCTGGAGAAGTTCATCTTTCTATATCCAAGAGATATGTAGAGCATCCTGTCCCTGTATTTCACCAGCAACAGGTACTACCAGGGAAGAGGGGCTGGGAGATCAAACCCAGACACACAAAACATTGGTCTTGGATCGCTTGATAGTAGAGAGTCATCCTGTCAAAGTCGATCACCCTGGGCCTGCTTCAGGAGGCAGAGTCAGTCAGGTCTTCACATGGGATGTAGCAGCAATGATGATGTCAGCCTGGGGAGCTCTTCTGTTGTGAAATAAATATGTGATCTTTTATTTAGTTCTATTTACGACTGATAGACAGACCAGCAAAAATCAGAATTCAGCACCCAGTGACCCTTTCACTGGGAACCTGGGAGTACTGAGCTCCATCCCAAGAACTGGAAGACAAGGGGAAGCGTCATGTTCTTGTATTGCTTGGGAAAGGATGAAAAGTAACGTTCAGTGAGAGTGCAGAAAAATATCTCCAGATCTTGCACACACATACACAGTTTTAGGAACTCTTCTCAAGTCTGCAGGACAAGTGAATTCTTGCTGACCGTTTCTTTTTCCTGTGTTATGATACTGACATTCGGCATCACAAAACGCATAAGGGAAGAGCAATGACTGTGTTAACCATGGGAGGGTGTGGCTTCCTCAGAACATTCCTGTTCCTCCTCCCTGCTCTAGGTCCTTTTTGTGCTCTTTCCTAATGCTGCATCCCTGATGTGTGAAGTTTCTTTGCTCCTTTGCTTGCATAGGGATGGAGGGGAGAAGAGCAGTAGCTGGTGCTATCTACAAAGTGCTTCCCAGTTTGGGTGGAAAACAGTTTTCCTTGGATTGGCTGATGTCTCTAGCAAGAGACAATGTAAGCATCATCCAAGGAGAGGACTTGTTCCAGTCAAGGGAAGAGATCCAAAACTATGTCCCATAAAGCATGAGAGCTTCCATATAACAAGGCTAGGGACAATCATGAAATGGCTGTTCTGCTTCCCATCAGACAAGGAACAGTGTTGCCTGCCAGGGGACTGCTGATGGAATAACAACTTCTGACAAGGCTAAGGGCCTGCACGTTTTGTAGCACACTCTATGCAGGAGTCACATTTGATACCAAGGAGAGACACTCATAGGACTGAAGTGTCTATGCAGTAAGTCTTGCAGCTGCAAAGCCAAATTGAGTTCAGTCACTCACTTTTAGACCAGCACAGGTGATGTGCAAATTGTGATCCCTCAGGGAGTCTCAGGGATCCCTAGGCTGACAAAGATGCAAGTGAGACCAAGGAGCATTTGGAAGAGTAGTTGCATGAAAGGAAGCAGGGAAAGGGAGGGGACAATAGCTGTTTACAGCAAGCACAAGCTTGCTGTAAAGCTTGCTGTTCCTCCTTTCCACTGACACATCTGATCAGACCCCGTGTAACTGAAAGACTGCTGTGACCTGAGCCAACACAATAACAGATTCTGTTGCACCATTGCCATAAGAAAAAGCTCAATGCATGTACAGGCTTGGAAGGAGGGAGACACTCAGCACCTGTTGGTTGTGCAGGCAAAAGAGAACTTGTTCTCTAAATGTATGGGCCTAGTTCCTCTCTCCACCTGTTTGGGCTGATTTGCGTTGATATAACTTAGATATGCATTCATATGGCTTCTGTTCTTTGAATCTGATTTTTCTCTCTTTCTTCTTCAGTTAACTGGGCTACTGGGCTCTCAGACCTGCTCCCTGCCTTTTACAGTGTGGAGCAGCCCAAAATAAAAATCAAGTAGTGAGTCTTCAGGTAATACACTCAGTAGAGCCAGCAACTCTACCATTCCCACTGCAGAACTAGCATATGGGACAGAGGAAGGGCAAGGAATGGGCAAGACTGGGGCTTAATAACTCCAGATTGGCAAAAGTCCCCTTAGCAAGCATAGCCTGTCATCTGTGTGTTAAACAGGCGTGGGTTTTCTCTAAACATCCCAGAGGTAAAACCAGCTACTATTTGACCCCTTTTCTCAGCAGATGTGGAATACAGCTGAAGACATTACTTGAAACACTCAACCTGCAACTTCTAAGAAGAAAAATCTAAAACAGAACAGTCTAAGATGATCTCTTCAGAAAGGGCCATTGCTTGTAGGACTGCTGTGCAGGAAATATATTGGAAGCGGATATCCAAGATGATTTACATAAGGGCTGATCCTGATTCCCTGGGCATCAATGACTCTTAAAGCCCCTCATCTGAGTATATTCATGACTTTTCTCCTGCTGTGGTCTTTCTAGGATAGATATGGTGGAAGCCTGGACAGAAAAGATGGGCTGCATGGACTAACAGATCACAGCCAAGGAAGGGCAGCAGCTGTGCAGCGGAGACACACAGACCCACTGCACCAGCCAACACCGGTGATGTACCTGGATGACCCTATCTGCAGATCTCACTGGGACCCTTAGCAGCGGCCAAGTAGTCTGGGCAATGTCACCTGTATAGAGGTTGTGGGAGGGAAAGTATCTTACACCTGTTGTGATGCAGTCCTCTTCCACCTCAGAAGATGTTGCTGTATCTCAAGACTCCATCCTAGCCACTTGAATTTGATTCTGGGGAACTCTGAGGGCAGGACTACGTTGTTATATGAATGTAGGTCTAAGACTGTTCAGTTAACATGCAGACATATTGCATGCAAGAGGAGCCCTAGCATGAGCTCTCTGGAGGCAGGTCTTTATTATAGGTCTTTATATAAAGTCTTTATTATAATACAGCTCAAAATACCATGCCTTTTATCCCTCAGAGGCTATGGCAACAAATAACAACCTGCCCTTACCTGCCACATCCCGTCAGTGATCAAGCAGCCACCAAATCACATTACAGAAAGGACTATGTGCCCTTCAAATAAATTGAAACCAACCAAATAGCCAGGAACCATGTCTCAGCAGGCCCTGAATGGAAGATTTGTCAAAGGTTAGCCAGGGATCAAACCAAATCCCTCCAACAGGGCCTGAAAAACATACTTCCCAAATTATCCATGCCCCATGATGTGGGTGCCAACAATTTCCCATTAAAGAAGTCCACCATCAGTTTAAAATCTGATTTCCAGTCAAAATGGGAAATTGAGTGCAAAATCTCTTTAAGATTAAGTTTTCATAAGAAAATATTCTGACTATAATAAAATAAATAAAGTTTGAACCCAAAATAAACTGATACTGCCAAATAGTTCCTAAATCCTTTTGACCTTACCAAAGAAGGTTTAAGAACATTCTCCAATCCCCTAGAAGTGCCTGAAAGAGTAAGTGTCATTCCTTACAATGTTCTCTAGACTAACCTCTGTGCTGGACCTCTTGATGCATCCCTCATAGTTCTCTTCTTGCCAAGAACATATTTCTCTATTCATACCAACCCATTTTCCTGGTGCTATTCACTTGCAGAGCACAGCCCAGCAAGGCTCAAGCGGGAGCTCTTCTGTGTGCTCAGAGCTGGCTTCATCACAGCTACCATGGTTCATCTTACAAGGCAGGGGAGATAGATAAAGCCGATGTGAACACAATGTCCTGAGGGCCTACTCTCAAGTATGACTTTTCACCTCACAGGGCAGGTACACATGAATCTAACAAGAAAGGTTCACAGGGCTGCTGAGAAGCCAAGCACCATCCCTTTGGGTGTCCCAGTAGATTGGTCCCTCCTTCCTGTAGTCCTGGCCACTTCCTTGTTTAATTGCAAGCTGACTTCAGTTTCGGTGTTGGTTGTCTTCTCTTAGTCAACATACGTCCCAGGGTGTAAGAGGGATCACAAGAACTGTGGCTCACTGTTCCCTGCTTGTCTCTATCTCCTCCCCAGCGAACGCTATGGGTCCGTGCCTTGTACGACTTTGACGCTATGGAGCATGATGAGCTGGGCTTCCGCAGCGGAGACATCTTAGAGGTCCTGGACAGCTCCAACCCATCGTGGTGGAAGGGACGTCTGCGTGGGCAACTGGGTCTCTTCCCTGCCAACTACGTCACACCGGTGCACCTCTGAGGGCAAAGAATGTCCCAAAGGCCCATATTGGAGCTGCTCTGATGTGACAGGGACAGAGACGGAGCACGTCTTCCCTTGCCCCCGGGATGTATGGTGTTTTTGTTATTGTCTTAATTTATTGGCAATTGGTCTTTTGAAGCATTGGTATGAAAGGGAACCTGCAGAAGAGGGTAGAGATTTTTCTCCCTGTGTTTTACATCCATGATAGGGGAGGGAGCAAGAATCCTGAATTGTTCATTGAGACCTTACTGGATCCTCCCTGCCATGTCATTCCTTTGGTTAAGTATTGATAAGTTACTGCAATTAGGTTTGTCCTGTGGAAATGCAGGTCGGGCTGTAGTATTTAGGCAGCTCCACCCCTATCTTTTGGATCTGGTAGCACACACAGTCCCTTTGGACTCCATTTCATGTTTCTTTCCCCTTTTCCTTCAATGCACAGAGGCAGGGAAAACACACAGGTCAATAGAAGGATGGTTGGTAATCCTTCAGGTAGGGAGGGAAAAGGAGGGGGCCTTAGAGAGAGGTTCAAGGCAACCTTGATTTTTTTAAATATTTTTTGCCTTACCCCTCTAGTATTTTCTGTTGGTATTGACCATATTAGTATACCTGATGAAAGGATAGACTCCCATGTGCTTTTGTGTGAACAACTCAGTTGTGAAGGTATGGGATGGGGAGAAATGTCTTTGCTTCTTCTAATAGTCCTGCTCTCCTCTGTTCCTGTCTGCACCCCATAACAACTTCTCCCATTTTCAAGCTGCTTTCCAAGGTACCTTCGTTTCCTCTTAGACATCCTAGTTACAGCAGGTCTGGCTCTTCAACTAAATGAATATCCACTTGATGGGATAACAATGGTTATCCCTCCTTTTGTAAAACTGAATTGGGGAAGGGTGAGGGACAAGAGTTTTTTTTCTGGTTCGGTGCCAGAATTTCTTCCCCTGAGAATCTGGCATACTGGGGATCACTGTGTACACAACTCTGACTTGCTGGTGGATTGCCTCATCCACCAGCAGCAGATTGATCTGTTACTTTACAGAATGCAGAGAATAAAATAAAGTTGTGACTGTTGAATAGTCCCTGTTCCCTTTTTTTTTTTTTTTTGGATGAAATAAGGCAAATGGATAGGTTTTCAAATCATTATTGAGTGACTACCAAGATGTGATACAAATATATTGCAAATGCACATCCAAACCCTGAGAAAGAAAAATGCTGCTGCATAACCACTGCTCATGCAAGCTAATATTAAACAAGCTGCCTGAATTTTTCACAACATGTGGGACCTCAGGAGTCAGTAAGGAAGTGATGATTTATCATTCTTGGGAAAGAAAGAAAAGGCAAGTGAAAAAACTCTAAAAACAAATCAGACTCAGCAAGAAAAATGTTCTTATCTTTTGTTAGACCCACTATGGAAAGAAAAACAGGAAATAGGCTCTTGGTGCGGCCCAATTCAATGTAGCTGGCCCAATTAAAGCTGCCAGCTACATGCAATATTAGCAGAAAGGACTCATTATCAAATATTTGGGAGAACTCCACCAAAAGCAGATTATTCATGGCTGAAGTAAAATGAGAATAATTAACAAGGCATATAAGCGCTAAATAGAATAGAAAACTTGGAAAGATATGTTAAGAGCTTATCTCCATTGCCTACCAGGCAGGTTCAGCTCATGAATAGACAGCATATGACTTGCTGGGCTGGACTTGGTTCTGTTCTCCTGTAGGTGCTCCATGTGGAGCCTGAACATCTCCCCATTAAAGTGGAGTGAAGTCCATGGCCTTCTTTTGGGTCAAGCTACCTTATTTAGTGGGTTGGTATGAGAGGGTAACTCTCAATGACTCCACAGCTTGAAGAGTGCTCTGCTTTGTTTCACCCTACTTCGGCGGGGTGGGGAGGGGCAGGTGTCAAGCTAACGCCAAATTTGGACTAGAGGGGTTTAATATTCGGGGGAGAGAGGAGCAAGACTGGGGAAAGATGGAAGCAAATAAAATACAGACCACTGAAAGCAGAGGAGTAACTCATGTTCAGATCTGGCTGAAACGGAAGAAATGTCATATTCCTACTGTGCCAAATCATCTTTCAATTAATTCTTTTTTTGATTAGAGTTACTTTCAAAATTGGAACCAATGCCTCCTTTTCCCTTTCCTCAGCGCTCTAAAGACCCGCTCGGTAGTGAAGATGTAGTTGCACAAAATTAATTGAGGATAATGCACTTAGCACTTCGATAGCTCTTCACACATTTGAAACCCCTTTACAGAGATTAACTAATTAAGCAAATCTAAGTAGTACATTGTAATTACCCCCATGTTAAGCAATGGTTCTTTTGAGGAAGAGGTAAATTTCCACGTGATTTTTCAATAGACATTTAAGGAATTAACACTTAAGTCAGCTAGCATTATAGGACTGCATGCTAATTATGGACAACACAGCAGGCCTGCAGTAAAATCATGATTTCGCATTACAGGCAGCACCTAATTGCACTAAAATTATGAGACTCCAAAGGTATTGTGGCATCTGTGATAAACAGACCAGTGCCATGTTCTGCACTGCCTTGTGGAGCTGGCCTAGCTTTGGTCTGCAAGACCCAGCCTCACCCGTCTCTGCTTCAGTCCTTGCCTGTTCCCCAGGGCAGGAGCAGTGCTACCTGCACGGACTGTGCACACCAGCAGCAGGAAGGCACAGGAGCCAGGCTGCATTTCTGAATGTTCTCCTAGGAGAAGCAGTTCTCCTCTCAGCAAAAGAGCACAGAGAAGAAGCGTGACCTTTCCCAAGTTGATGGAGTCTGTGGAGCCAAGGTGAGGTGTGGAAGAAGGGGAAAGTTTTGCTTGGGCTAGAAGGTGCTATATCCCACAGGACGGAGGAGGAGGACTTCCTCCTGCCCCGCACCATCTTCTACTGCAGCCTTTCCATGAAATAAGAACTCCCAGATATCAGGTCAGTTAATAGAGGAAAAGATTTGAGAGACATACACACACTCCTCTTGTCCACGCTTGTATCCCGCATTTGTCAACCTTGGTAAAGAACTAACCCTCCAGACCAGCGCCTCAGAGAGCCTGCTGTGAAACCGAAAGGAAAGGAATAAAGAGGAACCCAGGGAAATGTTTTGCTTAATATTTGTCTTAGGCAAGAAAGATAGTTCATGAGAAAAGAGATTGTAAATAGAGATAAAAGTAGGAAAAGTACATGGGAAGACAAACATTGCTGTAGTAAATGAAACAGAAGAACCTGGCCTGCCCACGGAAGATAAAAGTTTGACGAGCACAGCTGAACTATGCTTTCTCCTGTCTGAATGAACTTTGCACCTACATTCTGCTGCAGAACCATAGTTTGTTTATAAATGTTTCCATGATTAATAAGGTTGAGAAAAAAAAAAATGGTAAATAGAAATCTCATTTCATGCAAAAGTTGTCCACAGTTTTCTGTGTCCCTGAAGAGAGCTGTTGCTGTCTTGGTACACACTTATTGTAATGGCTGCGCTCGCTGGAGCACGCTGCAGAAGCCACGGGAACGTGGTCGGTTCCAGCCTGGCTGCAGACAGGGGAAGAGCGCCAGGGAGACACTCCTCAGGGCTGCCATGAAGCCAGCGCCTGTTCAGGCTGCTAGGCCAGTCCCTCTCTTAAGAGGGATACAAAGGCATTAATAAAGCAAGCTGCTTTTTTTGTTTGTTTGTTTTTTTAATTAAAAGTAGTTCTCTGTTTCGGTGGGCTGTGTGGGAAATGTGCAGCCTTCCACAACTGAGACCTGTTTGTGATTTTTTTTCTGTTCAGCAGTGCCTCTCAGCCTTCCTCCTCAAAGGGATCCTGGTGCTGCAATATCTCAGAAATTCATTTTGCCTCAGGTCCTTGTGGAGGGCGACCAAAGGTGGCAGAAGCAGCAGGTCCAGCAGCCAGGATCATGTGGCCAGGAGCAATGAGCCTTGAATAGCAACACGGTACCAGCCTGGGACAGCTTGCACTGCAGGAGCAAAGCCCTGGCAGCCCCCACCCAGAGATGAGTTGAGGGGTGAGCTCTACACTGAGTGGGAAGTGGCAGGTCTCTAATTATATCAACGTCGCATCATAAGGACCGCAGGGATGTCTAGCAAGACAGAGATGTGGCCAGCCAGGTTAGGGCTGTGCTCAGACTCTTGCTCTGCATCCACTGCTGGTTGCACCAGACTAGGTGCGAGAAGTGTTTGGCGATGCTGCGCCTTCCAACGCTGCCAAGGGCTGCTGCCCATCCCTGCCCAGCATGGCCAGGGCTGGTGCCTGTCCCTGCCCAGCACGGCCAAGAAGCCTCCCAGCACCTCTCTGCAGCTGCAGCTCAACCCCACTGCTGTCCCTGGCTGCCCTTCGGCCAGCTTTGCTGCTGCTCTGATACAAGAAAGTCCTCTGCAGACACCTCGTTTCAAAGAAATTGGCTCAGCTGCTTTTTAGTGAAACCCTAAAGAGATCAGTTGAAACCATTAGCGTTCCCAGATGATCCAGGCACTAACATTTACTGGTTAAAACATATGCATTGACTAAAGAGCTTCTGACACACAGGCACTTCTAGCCACTGAAAGGTTTGCATTTCAGTGGGGAAGCATGAACAGAGTGTGTGATAAAGCCTTTAATGGCAATGAGGAAGAGGGCAGAGCATTGCCAATTTCTCCAATTTTTAGAGGCAGCTTTCATGTGATAGACTTCAGGAGCTTCAATTTGCGTGAAACTCAAAAGAAGTTTCTTGCATAAGCAGAACTGACAGTGGAAAGCAGCTGTGGACTTATCTGTGAGCTACAGGACAGCAGAGAAACAGGCAAGTGAGTAGGAAGAGTTCACTGATCTTTGTGCAGAGGGAAAATTCAAAGCACGTTGTCTGCTGTCACTGTGCATGTGCGAGCTGCTTGGTGGATGTCCAGTCTGCTAACATGAAAATGCAAAATCTCTCTAATGGAAGGCATGCAGCGCTTTTTGTAGACATGCAAAAACAAAATTAGCTCAAGCAATGAAGGGGAGAAGAAGAAACAAACAAATTAAAAGATCGCCAGATATCTTGCAGCCTCTCCTCGCTAGCCCAAGCAACCTTATTCCCACTTGGATTTATGAAAGATGTGGCTGTGGCAATATTTTTTTTTCACAAGTAAAAATGAGAGCAAATCTGTGGAAAAAACGCACTTTAGGATGTGAGTTTATTACTGTGCACTTAAAGCCATAAAATGATGACAGGGTCCTGAAGCCATGGCTGAAGTTCAATTCCTTGTTTAAGAGGCTCTTCTGGGAAACCTTTTAGTGACACAGCCACATATAAAGAAAAGAAAAAAAAAAAAAAAGGCACCTTCTCTGCTGATCTAGAGGTCATTCTCAAAGCATATCTTTTATGTCTGTGCTGTGCAGAGTGTGTCTGGCTGGGACCATAACTTCCCTGTGGTACTGGCCAGCCCCTCTCTCTTCCCATCAGATTCCAAGAACGTTGCTAGTGCAGCACCAGCAAGTGATAACAAACAGGGGGAACCAGCTCGTGGTGACCCTGCTCATGACCAGTATTTATTGGCAGGTGCAGCATACCAAAAGTTGGGCTGCAAAATGGTGAATTACAACAAGACTGCATCAGCCTTTTCTTTTTTTTTTTTTTTTTCCCCCTCCAAATTGGGGAGGGAGGGCAAATTATCAAACATCAGCTCACTGTCAGCACCAAGGGACTGGGGAACTGCCCTTTGCTCTGCCCCATCTAGACTCTTTTCCATCAGCACCGTATGCATGTTCATCGCCCACAGCTCATCCTGAACGAGCAGCTTTTTACACTCACTTGGCAGCAGCCAAGCACAAGGGATGTGTGATGTGTGACAGCAGGGAATAAGCCCTCTGTAGCTGCCTATCTATATATCAGAGCTTGCCATTGTGCTGGCAGTTATTTGCCTGATATCGGATGAAGACGGACTGCGAATAACAATGGCTGTGATTTCATAAGAGCAGGTGAGTCAATTTAAGAGCTTGCTGCCACCCAGCAGAAAACTATCCCCTCCTCCTCCTTTTTTTTACTGGGTTAATGAGTTGAGTCAGCTCACCAAGGGCAGCGACAGGAGCACCAGAGCTAGCACAGGGTAAGCAGTGGGAATGCACAGCCCGGAGGGGAAAGGGAAGACAACCTCCCACTTTTGGCTGCAGGAGCTATTAGATCACCTCGTCCTGTGCTGCAGACTCAGCGAGACGAAAACCTACTTGGCTTTGAGGTTGCCAGAATGCCTGTCTGTGAATAGGGAATCCTTTCCTTAAAGCCTGTTCGGGGAGGAGGGGAAGGGGGAATGAGCTTAGATCTGCTGCAAATAGTATGTCCTATGTCTCCTCGGTGGAAGCTCTTGCAAAAGCTTTTCACTTCCAAGGGCAAAGCTGCAAGAGCTTGTTGTTCCTTAGACTGTAAATTAGAGCAGGAAAAATAATTCCTAACATGTTCACACCAGCAAAACACTCAGTCATTCAAGCTATTATCAGGGTTACCTCCAGGGGGAATAGAACATGCACAAAAGTTTTCAGGAAAAAAAAAAAGAGAATAGCAAGGAGACATCTTGCTGCCTAGGGAAACAGCTAAATTAGTGCCACTTGCTGCTGATGATTCTCTTTCTGGGTGGAGTGCAGCAATCAGTTGTGTTTAGCAGGTTGGAGAGCACAACAGTGCTTGCAAGTTAAAATTTTCAGTATCAGCTGACCAAAATGATAGCTGCGTATTCTCATTTAAAATGTGCATAACTTTAAGGGCACAGACATTTGATAAGTACTTACTTACACAGCAGAATGCATGCTGGAACCCCAGTCATAAACATCCTGAATTTAGGACTCCAAAAATAAGAGGTAAGGCTTCAAGAGACACATATGGGTAGTTTGCACTGACTCTGGACAAATTCAGGCTAAAAATAAAGCACGCATACTTAAAAAGTGAAGGTACACAGCCACTGGAACAGCATAGCAAGCACGCTATGATTCTCCATCATGCAGTCTTCAGCTCAAGACCAGCTGGCCTTTTAAATGAGGTGCTTCAATTCAGCCAGCACCAAGGGGGCTGGATACAGGAATTACTGGGTGAAATACTCTGGCCTGGGTTATGGGAAGTTGGAGAACACGGTCACGACCATCCCTTCTGTCTTCTGAAGCTTTTCACTCCATCAGGGAATTGAAGGCCAGCCACTATGATGTGAGATACCGTTTCCTAACAAAAGATTGGTGTTTTTTATTGTCCTTACAATAAACGTTTAAATATGAGGCCTATTTTTCTGAAGTGCTGGCTTCCCCAAGCCTAGAGGAAGTTGTCTCTGAACAGCAGTCTGGTTTATCCTCAGTGTCTGTCTGTAGCACATGCAAGTGTGAGCATGACTCTGGGAGGAGAGGGGCACCTGAGAAGATATCTGAGTAGGCAGTGGGACTATGCTTTGACCGCATAAGTCACTGTTGCACATGTTAAGTTCATGGAGCCATTCTGATTTTCACTAGCTGAGGTTCTGCCCTATTATTCCAGAAAGAGATCATAATTTAATTTGATAAGATCTTAGTGTAGTGAGGCAAAGGGTGTGGGTAGTGATTTACTCCACTTTGAAATTATAATTATCATCTATTTAAAGGATCTTTATACTTACCTGGGTATGACTGTCTAATGCGGTCAAAGCCTCGTGGTTTTCTTTTCTTGTGACTCAGACAAAGCTGACCACAGCTCCAAAGCTCTTCTCGATGTACTCTTCATATTATGCTTTATTGTTTCTACCCTCCTTACTTTTGCAGCCTCCAGCTTATTGAAAAAACTGCTGCAAAGGTTCTTTCCCACCACCTCTGCACAAGGAAAATGCATCATTTTGGAAAAACACCCTGTTAACTTCGGGCTAGTTCATCTTGCTAAATAACCCAAGCTGGTGACTGTGGCGTGACTATTTCACAGTAAGTAGTTAAGTCACGCATCCTGCGTGGATGCATGCAGTCCATGCAATGGAAGTGGAGGTCGCTAGGTTTGCTAGAGGCCTGTCTAGTATAGAATGAGAGACCACACAGGGAGTCAGTGAAGAACGATTGTGTT